AAACCTCGAAAATTGAACAAGGCAAAACACAGCTTATCTGCGTACATTTGATCAGCCTTATGACAGTGGTAAATGACCTCTGGGATTATGTAGTACCAGGTACAGGAAGGCCGTGCCCCTCAGGTCAGAGGGCTCCGATATCCTCAAGGAATGACACTGGCTAAATAACTGCGTCAAGAGGCGCTAATCATCGAGTCCTGCGACAAGGTCAACCGTGAAAAAGTACACGAACTCGCCAAGAAGTCATTTAGCCAGCAGCACAGACTAAAGCCCCTCCTTTCTTTCACTAAACGGACGAACCGTTGCAGACCAAAAGAAATTCGTCTATCACTCAGCAAACTCATAACCTTGAAGAAGGCCTACGAGATACCGGCCAAAACATTGGAACTGGTCAATCATCCGTATGACCAAATGGCAAAATTCATTGTGTTGTTTATAAATAAACATTGTTTTGCGCTGTTTTCATCAGGACGGAAGACCATCAACGCACGAATCAAATCCAGATTACCGGGATAACAGTCATTCACAGCCGAGTAACCTATCATACAACGCAGAATTACGTTCCATGTTCAAATCGAGTTTGAAAGTTGGGTGTACCGAAGAGCCGTCCGAAGCATGCTCGGCGTGATGAGCTCGTGTGTCGCTGCTTCAGTCGGTCGGTCAGCCTGCGTGCACGCAGCCCACACCAGGGTCGAGCATGAAAGCCGGAAAGCAGCAGGTTAGTTATGTTGCAACCAAACATGCATTACGACCGAAGAAAGTTAAGAAAGAGCAAGCGAAAGCAGTTGCTGAAACACTACTGCGACAACATTCCTTGCTGCAACGCAAATGTTACCTGTGACTGGTCAGGATCTCTCCCATTCCTTTAATGCGAAGGAAACTATTATGTGTGGTGGCTTGGTGGAAAAACGATTTTTTCTCGTTTGGGAAAAACGTGTCGGGCACCCAGATGTCTTTTGTGTATTCCCAGCCAACCGTCAACTGCTGCTGAGCACCCAGACGCCTGATATCCAAGCGCGGGTCTACCCAATTTTGTCGCAAGTAAAAGTCCAGCGTATAGTCCTGAAACAACACGACCCTGTGAGCGATTCCAGTTCACACAATGCAATACCTCTGACTATTCAGGATATTTCCTTCTGCAGAGATACGCAGAAAACTGTTATGCGTTGTGGTTGGATGAAAGTATGACTTCTTTGCGTTGGGAAAGAAAGTATCTGGAACCCAGATGCTTTTCATATACTCTATGTCAATAGTTAGGTGAGTGCTAACGCTTTTAAAGGACAGTCTTTCGTCCTTCCACGACTGACGAAGGTAAATATCCAGAGTATAATCCTAAAATTAAAACTGACCTCCCATCCTAATAAAGAACAGTTAAAAATGATTTAATTATTTAAAATTTATCAAGCTTTATTTATATTTCATGCCAATTCACTGTTTAGAAGTCTAAAAGTTTTGAAAATAAGCATGTATCAAATTTATATATGATAGTCTAAGAAAGCATTTAGAATTCGTTTAGAAAAGCACAATTCCTTAATTTTGCACAGTCTTTGAACTCTACAAAATCAGCTACAGTTTCAAAAATGCTCGCCCACGGTCTGCTATCTGCCATAAAGAATCTAATTTGGTAACTGCAATAATAATCGTCCTAAATAAAAACGAGCTAAGGTTTATGCTCATCAGGAAGATTATTCGATATTACGTGATCAACTATGTTCATTTAAAAAAATTTCAAAGATAAATTAATAACAGCAATGCGACTGCAACAGTAAAAATGCGACTGCACAACGGGAAAGGTCAAAAAGGTCAACATGTCCACAACCATCGCGATTTCAGGATAGAACTTCACTTAGCCCTATACGGACTGATCATGGAATGTCTTAAACTTTACAACATCAGCAACGACCCATTAAAGTTCTTCGAAACAGCGATGAAACAGCGGGAAACAACACCACCATTTGTACCTACGATCGGTAAAGATCAAACGAGTTATCTGGCAGGGAGACGGATTCTGGCCATTTCGACTTTTTTGACATTGAATCCGGTCGGTTACTGGCTGAATAACGTCAGGAAAAGATATAAGTTGAAAGATAAGTTGAAAGACGGTAGTGTAACATCCCACCTATTGTACAACGATGACCTGAATTATACACAAGATCGGTCAAATGGTTGATAATCTGATCTAAGGCCCAAGCATTTTTTATTGAAGATATCGGTATGAAATTCAGTTTTCATAAATCTGCTACGATCGAGATTAAGAATGGGAAAATGTGGAAAAGCAAAGGATTAGCACTGCAAAATGGTGAAATAAACAGGTTTGGGAAGGACAATCCTAGAATTTCCTGTAGTAACGGAAGTTGTATTACATGAAAATAAAATGAATGATATAAACGAACATGAAAAGAAAATCTTCCGAATTCCGAAGCGCTAGTTGTGCGCGAAAAACAAAATGCGGCCACCATAAACCAGTACGCAAGACTGGTGCATGCCTATATAGGAGGCATGGCCGAACGGTCGCAGAGGGAAAGGCTGGCTATGGATCGAAAGGCAAAAAAATATGTTGCA